TACGAGTCGTGGTACGCTCGTAAAAAGATGACTCGGTGACAACCGCTATGACGCGAAATTTACGACGTCGAGGTCGTAGCCCAGGTCGAATCGTGAACACCGCGGGACAAGTTGTCGTTGACGTTAGCAAAAACGTTTTGCCCCGTCGCGTCGCGGCCTCACCTCTGGCTTGCGCGTCTATCTTTTAGAACGAGACGTTGAACGGTCAGCATTCGTCAAACATTCGTCTCTGTTGTCCAATTTATTTTCCGGTTACGAGTAACGGTTAGAACGATCGTTGGTCACGAGCCGGACAGAGGATTATGTAGAACGTCCCGGCGAGAATTTTGAATTGCAAAGAAGAGTTTAGGAGCGGCTAATGTGGTAGCTGTGTCTATCGAGATTAAGACACTTTTAAGATGGATGACGTGACAAAGCATTGATTTATGGTTTCGTCGTAATCAACCTAACCGGCTGATAATCGTTCGTTAGAGTCTGCGTGTTAGCAGCGGTAGCCGTTCGCATTGTCGTTCGAGACGATATTAACTCGACCAAGCTTTCTCCGTCACCCATACACAGATATAACTACGTTGCCCGATGTCTCATTAATATTTCAATTACGGGCCAACGTTTACGATCTAACAGCGAGCAGAACGACCGATAAGTTTTATCGTTGTGCTCGGCGACATCTTGGTCAATCACCGGACGACATTCCTATCGAAATTCCGAAACAGATTTGCCGCAACGGAATGATTAGTATTAATGTTTCTGTTCGCGACAACGTGATCCATCGTCGACAGTTATACAAGGGGATTTCAACGGTTTTGTGGCTTCATTGGTTCGCAGCCATTCTATTACGCGCGTTATGCCTGTTATTACGGTCGTAACGTCTACTTATAGCCGTATGCAGTGCCAAATTAGTGTCAACTAAAAGTGTGAACTATTGGTTAGAAAGTTTAACAGGTATCGGACTTAAGTGATTCTTGCTTTCCGCGTTTCGATCAATGGGATGAGGTAACCTTTCGTTGTTATTACATCAACAGGTTTCTATTATCTATAATGCTCGACTTAAATGCTAAATCTCTATACTTTAAATCTCACGTATAGTTAAATTGCCGCTTGTAGAGCAAGAAACTTGTTGGCCAATTCGATATTATTTATATGTACAGAAAAAAGTCATGCAATGGAGGGTTAATTATACATCGTTAAGTTCGAGACGTTTACATCGAAGATCGAGCACCGCAGGAATCGAAATTAATTTCAAAGTAGAGTGTTTTATGCGAGCCACGGTTCGAGAATTATACGAAGTCAAGTTGCACGGCTTTCAAAAGTATTGTGCCTTGAATTTAAGGATCCTTCACGGACGGAGGAAACCTTAAACTCACTTCGCCAGCCCCCATGCGATATTTTAAGGTTCGCGCGTTTTTTTCATGCGCGCGACATCAGGAACCGTAACCCCGTGACCCCGGCAACGCGAGGAGGATAAATCGTTCGCGAAGGCCGTGAAGAAAATTCGTGGAGGACCTTTAACCGAAGCTGGAGAGGACTTTTTGTCCTGTTACTCCGAGTTGTATGCAGGTCTCCGTTTAATCGGTTCCCCTACGTAATTAATTGGCCACGGGAACGAAGTACGTGTAGAAGAGGCCTCGCGAGCCTCCACGGCGGATTTACGGACATTTATCATGTATTAATTAAGCGATTAGTCCAGCGTCGCTAACGAGAGGCTAGCGTGTGATGGAATTTCTTTGCCTCGCGTCTAATGCCGCCGGGCTATTTCTATGCTTAGGGTACAACGCTCGAGATAATCGGATTCTAATTCGGTTCATTACAAATGTGGATACCGTGGATCTCCGTTTCTCAATTACTGCGCGATCTGTTATACGCCGCTTCGCGCCATAAATTGGACATTTCGAAACGTCTATACCATCGCGCTCGAAATTATTACGCGATGATGAAGTAGTCAGCTGCTTCGTATTTTAGAATTAGAAAAATGATTGATGCGCTGTCTTTTCTCAAGCGTTTTCTATTTATGAGTAACTGTAAATAATAATGCAGGTCTTTGGAAAGTATTACTCAAGAATTTTTCAGAATGTTGACCCGATTAGTCTTTCTAAATTTCCGACATTCTCAAATTCTTTGAGAAGCCGTTCTCGAGGAGCCATTCCTTGAGAACCTCTGCGCACGTCTCTAAATGCATCTGTGTCCGACTGCAGCGATACGATTGTAAAGGGTTGAATTTTCCATTTAACGAATGGTTTTATTGTAAAGATAAGGATTTATGTCTGTTACGGTATGGACAGTAACGCGTGCATTTACGATAGTCGTTCGAAGGATCTACAAAGTACTGTCTACCGATAACCGAACGTTTTATCCGGCATGAAGAGTCGGCAATCGTTACACTTTATGTCTGTATATATGCATTCAAATGGGGAGCGTGGGTGGCAAGGAGAAAAGACACAGGTACGATAATCTACAACGTACGTGACTATTTGGGACCTCTCGATCAATCATTTTTCTACAAAATACGATTCCAACTTGATATTCAACTAGACTTTGTCTAAATAAAATTTACAGATTGCAAATACCCTGTCATGAAAAGGTACTATAAGACCTTTCAACGCTATCTAATTGTAAGAAAAATTGCACATGTAATAAAATAAAAGTAGCACAGAGGCTTTGTTTCACAAGAAGTTGCATTTAAGGGAGATATTGCCGTAGATCCGGAGGAAGTTTGTATCCGAAGTTGTTTTGGGGTCGCGTGGGTGACCCGGTGTTCTGGTTTCGCAAGACCCGGTCGCAATTGCTCTGTGACGATCCGCCCCCACGGTTTTCTCCGTGTTACCACGGGAGGAACCCCAAGCTCTATGAGGGATATTATACAGCGGTGAATTTCGCGTAGGTTGCATCGTGTCGCCTGGTGAAGCGTGGCGCCACCGTGGCGGGACAATACGCGCGTTACACCGATGCCACGCGCTCGTTTTACAACTTGCACGCCACATTTCTACGTGTTACAGTTCCACGTGAGGCCCGTTTATCAAACGGTTACGCAATCCTGTCGCGAAATTGATCATACAAAACGGTCCGTTATAACCGTCGCCCCATTATTCCGAAGCGTATAGAGGAGGCGTGGGTCGAGCCGGGCCCGATTCGAGTAATTCCCCGGACGCAACGGCATTTTTCATTCGCCACGATCAATAATGCTTCCCGATCAGATTGAACCGTTCACAAAGAGCCGATCCAGTACTGATAAAATTATCAGAAAGAAAGATGATGGCGATTTTGTCGATAATGGACAACGAAGAGGTACCGTTGTAACCGCACCGAGACCGAGGATCGGTCCGAGGGTGCCGTGATCGTGATCGATGTAGATCATTCCCTCCATCTATCCACGGCAATCCATGCCGGCCACTCTTCTATGTCTCCGCCGTTCTATACGTGTATTTGTATATACGTGCATAGGCAGCTTGTTCGAACGCGATCTGTTTCCGGGTCACGCCGTGGCAGGTTGACGCCGGAGGTACCTATACGCTATTGTCCCTCGTATCCAATATCTCGATTCCTTCGCATCGATTAGCATTGATTTGTGAATTATCGATAATACCCAAAGACGATACTCCTCGTTTAATTCTCTTATTTCACGTGCAATCGCTCGTTTGCACGCTTCGTACCAATCAAGATCGATTCGATTAGATCCCAGTTTCAAGTAGTTTCTGACCTCTGAGTTGAAAGAAGCTGGGGGTATCCATGAACAATTATATCGACAAAATTTGAATCTCAGATTCTTCAGGTTCATGAATCACCACATTTCACTTGCTCTCCTAGATTCTCGTGATATCTATATTTGCAAGTCCCGTGGAATTCTAGATTTCCAAAACCGTAGATCTCCAGATCTCTAAATCCTCGAATCTAATTGTCCACCGTAATTTTGTATCCAATATGTTCCCACGTGCACATGTTAAACCCCAACCTTAAAAGCTACGAAAATGAAATTAGAAAGGCAAGATTGTGTTAAATAAATAAGTTTCTTAGGTCCGTTAACATGTTCCTTTTATCGACCACAATGAAACTTGCTCCAAACCTGGCTCTAATTGCATAGAAAGGATTTCTAGCGAATCGATAAAGACACCTGCGAGCAACAAGAGTTGCAGCTACCCGAGTCTTCCAGATTACGAAACGATTCATGCCTAACCGAGTGTGGGACTCGTTGTATTTCAAGCAGTGGTGTATATACGTCGAGAGACCCTTAGATCCGAATCTCTCTTCGGCCAGTAAAATCGTATAAACTGCAAAGATACGATCTACATCGACCACGCCTCGAGAGAAGATCGAACTGTCTCTACCGTATACGTCGATACGTATACGGTTTTTGACGTATCCGCGAAGAATTAGCATAAGGTGCGTCCTCTTGGCTTATCGAGAGTCAATACCGCGTTTATTTTGCGTACAAACATGCTGAATAACGGAAGACATCACTCTACGCTGACGTTAGACAATAGTAGTCCCGTGGTAGAACGATTCCTTATAGGATGTCGATATTTTATGTACGACTCTACGTCTTCCGTTAGCGTAGTGAGTTATTGAATAAAATATCTGGACAGGTGTGCGATTACAGATAGGTATGAGTTGAAGATTCAGAATGGTAGAAGTTTAGAAAAATCCAAAATTGACATTTCCGATCCTTAAATTATAGTTAAACTTCCAACAACTCATCATACTGCATTTACCTTCTGTTTTACAAATAGTTTAATTTTGTAGAAATAATGTGAGGAAGGTTTCTAGACTTGGAAAGAACTATTGTACCATTTCGGTATCATTTTCTACCTTATCCATACTGGATATTTTGATATTTTATATTATCTACTGCTGGTAGCACTGATCGATCGCAATCGTTACCTGCTGTAGTTAAAGTAGAAATCTCCTTACGCACGACTGGTAATGTAGAAGATTGTTCTATCATTCGTTGATAACGTTAAAAATCAACCACATACTGTTTCAACTCTAAAGGTGGCCAACAACAAACACTCACTTCCTCACGTGAGAGGCGTTGCAACGCAAGGATTCAAACATCATCCTCAAAATCCCTCCATCCTACCAAATTTTGTCTCAACATCTCACACTTCCCAAAAAGAAACCTATTCCAACTCTCGACTCATCCCCCAATCATCGAGTATACGATGCGGGGAGCACATTGCCCGCCCGAAAAGCGCTCAAGCGAGAAGCTGTTCAGTGTTCGGCCATATTGAAACTATACACAACCAGTGGCTCGTGTGTGAAAGTAAAATCGCTCAGATGCCTGTGCGTCGAAGTTTCCTGTCTCAGCAGTCGTGAGAGGTGAGAACACGCGAAGACATCCGGCTCATACACGTATTCATCTGGCGTGAATGAATAATCGTTTTCCTTGCCCACAGCGTGTGAACTCGTAGCTGCATTACCGATCGGGTGAATAAGATGCCGGTATGATTTCAAAAATAAAAAAGAAACCGTCTAAGCTCGTTGTTTCGAGAGATCTTCAAGGCTAGCTAGGTGGGTAGCTCATCGTCGCGATGAATGATGTAAGACAATCCGTGTCTAACTCTAGCATTGACTTTCACCGATTCTTTTAAGGAAACACGCGAACGCTGGTGTGGGTGTACGAGCGTGTTAGTGCGGACAAGAGTACACGCTGAGTAGGTGAGGTCATACACCCATCACTCGCACAGGTGGTTCCTCCTCCATTCACGCCGCGCTCCGTAAAGCGAGTGCACGACTTCTCAGGGAAGACCGGCTCATTTTAGCCAGTGCCGTTCACGATGATCGATTACGCGTTTTCTCTTAAATACTCCGTCTCTATGCTGCTGGTCACGGTCATCGCCAATTGCGCTAATTATACGGACATTGATCTGCCGCCTGATCACGTCAAGTACTACCTCAACGCTTTTCCCACGGTAGCCGAACAGTGCCGCAATGATACCGCCTGTCCGTTCAAGGTAACGCTAGGCACAATTAATAAACTGCTTATTCAACGAAAACATAACATCTCACACTCGTTCCTTGTCTCGTGAACGCGTCAAAGACTGAATGCAATCATCTTTGCATTATAATTGCAATTACTCATGATAACATCGTACCATTGCTCAATTTAGACTTCTCTTCTTCCATAAATAACTTGCAATGTCTAAATTTTTTCTTTAATGTTCAAACATTAATTGGAGAATATTTGATACACTTAGGATAGCCTCGATACCAAAGCCTGCTGGGGTTACGAATCAAACTGCAAATCCGAAAACGTTTTTTCCGTTCCTCAATGTCCAGGTGATCACAGAGGATGGGTGACAACTAAGCAGGCACAGTTAGAAACGTTTTATGCCCAAGGCGATTTCGGCTACGTGCGCGACCAAAGGAAAGAGATGTCCATTTTCTGTGAACCTTTATTCGTGGCAAGTTTCATTCGTATATAAATCATTAATTCCAAGAAATAAAATTCATTGCAATATTTTCGATTAAAGGACGACTCGTCGTTAGAGTGCTCGGAACATATGAGGTTTTGCCGAGCGAGAAACATCATGATCAATTTTACGGATCTGTTACGTAGGAACGAGCCTATACGCTATAAGATGGATGTCTTGAAAGAAGGACAAATCGGTGGATACTGCACGTGAGTGATGAATTACAGGACGTATCGCTTACGTTGAACGAATCATCTCGTCTTTGCGATTCAGATTGAACGAGAAAAGACTGCAGGAGAACGCGGACCATATCAGTCCACTGCAATCTTGGGGACCTGAACTGAGAAATTTTCGAAAACTGTCGAGACCGCCGATCGTCAACGGTGACTGTGATATCGTTATCGAGAAACCTACGTTCATAATGAAAATAGACGCCAGTAAGTCGTAAGAAATGATCGATTTCGACGAACACGAATTAAGGGTGTTCCTATAACAAGTACTAGATTTGAGTTTGCAATGATTCTCTTTCGACAGCAGCGATCTGTCGCTTTCGTAATACCACAACAACAGAATTCTCTTTTTCTGCGAGGTTTCACTTCTGTAATACCACAGTGAAATGCGCAAATTGAAATTGGTTACTTCTTGTCGGGATACCCTTTATATTCGGCATCCAATCATTTGTCGAAGTCGTTCTGTTTCAGTAGTAAATATGTATCATCATTTTTGCGACTTTTTCAACTTGTACGCGTCATTGCACGTAAACCTCTCGCACCCCGCCGCCTTCAGCACTGATAATCATATAATGATCTGGGAAAGCTACAGGTAATCGACACCGACGCAATAGAAAAACTAAGAGGTATATAGATATCAAGAGTTCTTTCACTTTCAGCTACCGTTCAGCGTTCCAAGACGCGTTCGAGGCTTTCACGAGAAACCCACTGTGGGATTTAAAAACGTTTCGCGGTGAAACTGTTTGCTTCAAGAATCTCGTGTTCCCGTTGTTGCCGCGCATGATCTTCGGTCTTTATTACAATACACCTGTTGTAAGATTATTTTTTCACTTTTTCAAAATTAAATTAAATTATCTAAATTAAAGTGACACGTCGTTTCAGATTTATGGCTGTGAGAAGAGCGGATTGTTCAAAGCCTTCGGTGACCACGTATTGCACAGGCTACGAATACCTCTCCACGAGAGGAAAAACCAAAGAATAAGAGTAACTTTGCTCAGCAGGGACACGCAGTACAGGAGAATCTTAAACGAGGACGAACTGGTGAAAGCTCTGAAGGAAAATCCGGAATACAAAGTGAGAAAGGTAAGAATGAAATGCAGGAACGAAAAGATATAAAAGAGCGCTAGTGAAAGTGTTATGTTTCCGCAGGTAGTTTATAATAAAAAAGTTACGTTTAAGAAGCAACTAGAGATTACGAGAAACTCAGATATTTTCATCGGTATACACGGAGCTGGGTTGACGCATCTAATGTTCCTACCGGATTGGGCTGCTGTGTTTGAGATGTTAGTATACACATATTTAATCATTTTCTCACAATAACATATATGGTTATTATACAGATATAATTGCGAAGACCCAGGATGTTATAAGGATCTGGCTCGTTTACGCGGCGTTAAATACTTCACGTGGGAAAATACCTCGAAATTAGTGCAACAAGACCCTGTAAGTATTTCAAGCAATTTCGTACTCCATTTGTTGCTAATAACTGGAACCATGCAGGGGACGCATCCTGACGGAGGAGCTCATGCGAAGTTCACGAACTATAGCTTTGATGTTGAAGAATTCTTGCGCATAGTTTCGCTCGCGACTGATTACGTGAAGAATCATAACGCTTTCAAGGAATTCATTAGCAGAAGAGCGCAACGTAAAAGAACGGAGGCGAAGAATCAGACTAGAACGGAGGGTAATGAAATAGAAGATCCAAAGTCGAAGAAGACGAGCGAGTTAAAGCCAGTTATTCAATCCAAAGATGAATTATGATGACTATCTTAGACAATCAATTTCGATGACAACGAACTAGAGGAATAAATTGAAACGACTTGTTACCAGTTAAGTCTTTTACTTATTTTTGTACGGACCTATGTACATACTTATTTTGATAAAAAAGAGAAATAAATATGGAATGCTACTTTACACGTCTACGAGAGGACAATGAAAATACTTGGATTGTGATTTAATGTTACTTGTATATACATATGCATTACATTATAAAATCGTATACCCTGATGTGTGACTAGTACAACGAATCATACATTTTTATAACTTAATTTGTACCTGTTTCCTATACAACAATAAAACTGATGTTATGTTTACAGCCATGTATGCGATCAATATTTGCACAGCTTTTAATTGATTTACGTATAATGTTGGTATTAACATATTAATACCACCGGTCATTAAGTTTGATAACAAAAAGAAAAGCAGACCGTTGTAATTCACAGCGTCGAGTATTTCGATACTGCTAACGATAGGATTCTTCTCTAATTCATTTGGAATGTGTTCTCGTTTGCTTTTAATATTCGCCTTTTGCGGTCTGCATTTCTTTTCCATGCATTCTGAATCTGTTGCATGGCTTAATATATCTGTAACTATTTCTACTAGCAATAATAGGGTTAGTAACATACTGCCTAATGTTAGTATCCACATGCAGTACCCTGCATTTGCTAGCCGCCTTGAAACCCTGAAAAATGAATCACAAAGCAAGGTAGCTGCACAGGTTTGTGCGCATATAAGAGATAATTTAATGCACAGTATCATAGATTCATTGTAACTCGCATCGAATTCGTAGCCAAACAATTTGATATGAAAAGTTTTGTGCTTGTATTGCACCGAATTTTGCGTCCGCGTATTCTGATAAGTGGAATGTATTAATCTACCAATTGCTACACCTATTAAGTAAAGGCCAACATATCCAGGCACTGATACCACACCCTCTCTGTTGGCAGATACAAAATCGTTTCTTGGTCTATTGCTCAAGACCCACTGCTTCAGTCCTTTGGTACTTAAAATGTATTCATGCATCCCCAAAATCCAAATGCCTGATAACAGTGAATATCTAGAGTTGATAGTGCTTGTAATGGAACTGGTAAACAGTTTGACAAAAGCAAGAGTTATGAAAAAGTTCCAATGAATTCCATATTCCGTTACATGCTTTTGGTACCCTAGTACTTCAATGGCTACAGAACGACCAAAACCTAATATTAGTAATGGAATGCAACTCCTTGCTGACTGTTTGATATTTCTTGATATAGTGTGAAAGAAACCTATTCTGGGTCTTGGGGTAAAGTCTTTGGCCTCTGGAGCTACTAATGCATTAGCTAGTACAAATAATCCAACACCAGTGTCCATTAAACTATATCCAAATACCTCAGTCTTGGCAAATTTGCGAGGGAAGATTTGAAAGTCTATGGCTAATATACATATTGCTGTTATGATGTTAGTCAGTGCACGAAAGTATGTAATAAAAGGCCTTTTGCCATAAGCAAGCTTTGCATTATAATTAGACAAAGTGTTTGAATTAATTCCTAGTAGTAATATGTTGATAACAGATATCAACATCATAGCACAACATACAGTAGCAATATACTCTGATAATATTGTACAACATAAAATAGATGGTACTACAATTAATACAAATTCTAATATAACTCTAATATCTTTATGAATAAATTTTCTTAGAAGGCCTAGTGTAGTAGTAGTTAAGAGAATGCTGCATATATTTGGCATGATTGCATATACGACTTCTCTGGATGTTGTCCCACCATGGCCAGAAACAAATGCTTCTTGCTGTTGACGGTAAAGGTTCTTATTCCATACATTTGTCATACTTATAGAATGAACAGTATTGTTTTAGTAAGCAATATTCTGTAAGAAGTATTATATATTTATTAATGAAATTACTTGTTTGATAATTTATAGTTTAATTCATTGCTGTTAAAGGTGCAATGTAAATCACCTTGCTCTTGTTGTAACACAGTATACAGGTTGATTTTTCAAAACGAAATATTGTCACTTTATATTCATTATTATCAACTTACTTTAAAAAACATTTCTCTGATTCATACTGTCAAGTATTGGAGTGGTGAACCAAGCTGAATTGATTTTGGAGGCCTCATGCGGCAGAACTGAGAAACTCCAGAGAAGGACAGGTGTAGAAATGTCCTTGTCTCTTTTCTGCACAGGTGAGACAAGGATCATCAATCCTTTCTTGGAATTTCTCACTTTCACCGCATGAAGTCTCTACTAGCCTATGATATCATTTAAATGTGACAGAGGGCACCACAATGAAGTTTATTGTAACTGATTTAAAGTTGAGAAAACAAAAAGAAATGTAAAGATTACATTTAAAGCGCATTTGTCTGGTCAAAGTGCAGTTGTAAATTTAAACTTTAAGATGATACTAGAATCTAAGTATGTTGTGTCCAGTGTGTAGGAAAGACTATCCTATAGAAGAGATAGGAAGTCACATTGATTTATGCTTTTCACAACTTGATGAAACTTTATTAAACACACCACAAACACCAAAGAGGTCTTACCCTAGTGATGAAAACAATGAAACAAATCTTCCAAAGAAACTGAAAGAAAATCCTGTAACAAATACACTAAACATGAATCCATCAAACATAACATCGATCCAAGAACATTTTCCACTTTCTGAAAAAATGAGACCCAAGTGCCTTGCTGATTATATAGGTCAACAACATGTTGTTGGTTCTGACACAGTTTTACAACAATTACTAACAAAAGGACATATCTCTAGCATGATCTTTTGGGGTCCTCCAGGTTGTGGAAAGGTAATGCAAATATTGATCACTATCATTTTTTCATTCCTAATGCCACTTACAATTTAAATATTTTTAGTCAACCCTTGCTAATGTCATTTCAAACTTAAGTAAAGAAATACATGGAAATAAAATTCAGGTTGTAAAATTATATGCAACATCTTCTGGTGTGGGTAGTATAAGAGATATTGTTAACAAAGCAAAAAATGGAACAAAATTAAATCATCAAACAATTATATTTATGGATGAAATACATCGTTTTAATAAGCTTCAACAAGACATTTTTCTACCACATGTTGAGGCAGGCACACTTACACTGATCGGCACAACTACTGAGAATCCTTCTTACAGTTTAAATTCTGCTTTGTTAAGCAGATGTAGAGTATTTTTTCTCAATAAATTAACACCAGACAATATTGTTGAAATTCTTTGTAGAGCAATTTCATCTATTAATGGTGAAGTATATGATACCCAAAACAAAAATTTGTCCCATAACTCTCAGGATTTAACTTCAACTTGTAAGCCCTATTTTTCTATCAGTAAAACTATAATTGACTGGTTGGCTGAGGTATGTGATGGAGATGCACGTGTTGCATTAAATGGTTTAGAACTAGCAATTAAAACCAAAGTATTAGATAAACCAAATCCTTCAAATGTATCAATTACTCTTGATGATATTAAAAATAGTCTTAAGGAAGCACATATGCTATCTGATAGGCAAACTAAAAATAGTCATCACTTATACTCTGCTTTGCATAAGTCAATCAAAGCTGGCAATGCAAATGCAGCTCTGTATTGGCTAGCACGAATTATGGCAGTCAAAGAAGATCCAGTAGATATAGCAAGACGATTAGTAAGAATATCAAGTGAAGATGTTGGTTTAGCAGATTTGGATGCTTTAGGTACAATTCTTACGATTTAAATTCTCCTTTCAATTCATGGTATAATAATACCAAAAGTGGGACTTAAAATTGTAGGAGTTGCTGTCCACACCATGCATGGATGTCAAATGATTGGAATGCCAGAATCTGATGTTATTTTAGCGCAATGTGTTGTGTACCTGTCTAGAGCCCCAAAGTCCCAAACTATATATAATGCATTAGAATCAGCCAAAAACGTTATTATGAATCATAAGGGTCCACAACCAATGGTACCATTACACATTAGATGTAGATTAGGTCAAGGGAAACTTAAAGCTGCTCTTGGTAAGACAGTGTGCATTAAATACATACATCATCAATAGTGATAGTCTTTTTTTCTTATCCTTTACAGGACATAATGAGGAACGATTATTACGTGCAGAGGAGACTGTTAAAACTTACTTACCACTTGAGTTGCAGCATGTTAATTTTTTTCAGAAAAATTCCTGAGCTCTAGAAGATTAATTTCCCTCCTTCAGATCTGTCCGAGTGTTATACTTTGAAATAAAGCAATTTCACTAACACAAACACTATTTCGAAAGATTTTATTTGTCCTAGCGAATGCACACCGAACGGCCGATTTATTAATATATAAATTCACATACTCAATAAAAGATTGAACGATTCATATTCGAATTTAAAAAAATAATTGAGCGCGAACATTCAACGAATCATAGGGAGTCTAAGTCACCGACTGGTGCTGCCAGCAACAGGGTTGCCAACTGTTGATAAATCGATGTACAATGAAGTATTAAAAAGTTCATTGTAGACCTCTCTTTCAATCTTCGAGGTTACATCGGGTTTCGGAGTCGGTTGACTCACCTTGCTGTGTGAAACTTGTGATATTTCTCGTGATTAGTAATAGTTTAAATTATAGTGTGATCAGAAACGTCATATTAAACAAAATTCTGCAAATATGAGGTTGTGGACGTCACGCCACACTTTCGAGTGAGTATCGTTTCTAACAGTTTGTTCGTTTGTTACTTTTAAGGCTAGGTTGTGAAAACATTAAATCATATTTTGTAATTCGTAAAGGATTCTTTTGGCACATATAATTAGGGTTTCAAGATGTTCCTTATGTTTGCAGCCATCCGTGGGAGACAGTGGTACAAGCAGCATGCAGGAAATATCCGAATCCTTTAAATCCTTCCGTTCTTGGAACGGATGTCATCGACAGGAAAGTCGAAGACGGAGTCCTGTATTCTCACAGATTAGTCACCACTGATTGGCAATTTCCTACATGGATATCACCGGTAAATTTTTCCAGCATTACTCTGATCATTCGCATTGCATTTCCAATCTTTTTATCACAATCTAAAGTTCATTGTGTATGTTATATGATGCAATATCTTTTGTTCCTTAGGTATGTAATTTGTAGCTTGTAAAGTACCATATTTGTTACAAGACACAAAATATCACATGAATATTTTGTCTACTGATAAGCTGTACTTGTATACTATTGCTTTTTACTCTATTAACTACTAGGTAAATTTTCCTGTTTGTTATCAGTTTAAATATTTATTCTACCTTGAACAAAGATATGACCTTGAAAGAACAGCTGTAAGTGTGCTTTGATTCATGGAACAATGTACTCTGTATTAGTGACTTAAAAACAAATGTCTAAGAAAGTATCTTTATGTTAAGTCACACTCTGTCAGTAGGTACAAACATGTTTTTAATGAATATTTAATTCAGTGAAATTCCATTCATTATAACGTTCCAATTCTTCCAGCGTGTTCGTCGTAGTGCACGCAACAGCCGTTAGAGCGCTGCTGTCTTTTAAGGTTTCTCGGACTTTCGAGTCGATTTCACTGGCCCGATGAAGGTGAAGTAGGGAACTGTTAACCTTGTGGAAGCTTGTGCATGATTTGGAATATCGATCCTAAGCGATATCCCTTACTTCAAATCTTATCAGGACGACCTTTCAACCTTAATAAATTTATTAACAGATTTAGTCATATAGCCCTATGTTTCTTGCCAATTTCATTGACGTCGGCGAATGAAAGTAACGAAAGTCACGAGTGATCACGTACATTGCACATATTGGAGCAATTGGCGATATGCCGGTTGCAAGTGGGGGTAACACGCGCTCTTATATAATCTATCGCTTCCCAGTAGTTAGCGAGCAGCGAACGTCCGTGGCTGACGTATTACGAAGCTCGTGGATATGTTGCGACTGTTTTTAAGAAGATTATGGATTCGTATATTCAATTTGTTCATGGAACACTCGTTGCATAAGATGCAGATTATGTCCACGAATTGGTAGATAAAACGCGTTTGCGATGCAAGGCTTGGTTATACAATGCGGGGGCGATCTATCCAATGGATATACAATGCGGGCAGAATGTTAGATGTACAGCGTGTGGAGATCTAATTCGTAGCAACACCACGTGTGAAGACTTAATCCGACGATTTCACATGTGAGATCTAACTTGTTGCATTCATTCTGATTCAGAATGAATCACATCTTGCAGATTACTCGTTTCAGACGGGATTTTCAGCTAATTTTCCCCTGACTTCTAATCAAACTATAATTTATCCGAAAGTTTGAGCATGGCATAAGAAATTCATTTACACAGCGGCGTTATGCATCCGTTCTTCTGGCGGACTCAAATTTATAGACAAAACATCTTCCCCCGTTTGACCGAGCGATCCATCCAAACAGCCAGGCAGGAAATTCGAAACTTTCGACAACCGTCGAGCAAGAAGAAGGTGCGGGGTGAACCAAGGTTCGAAGCAGCGAATTACAAAACAACGACATCGACCGTATCAACTTTCATAATGAGCGGCCCTCCTCCCATCACCTCGCCTCTCAATGTTACGCTCTTTGGCAATCATCCAGCTAGGCGCCTGCGTTACGGGCTACACACCAACATCAGCCTCTCTTAGTGCCTCCCCTCTCATCCCTGTTTCTTCTCTGGCCAACGGGGGAGATTCCAGCTTCGAATCCTTTTCGGCTCGGCGAATTGCTTCCTTTCGCAGGATTTTCTATAAGCTTGGCCATTTCGCAAAGCCGTCCTGTTGTGCCGGCTCGCTCGCTCGAATGCCTCGAATCACAGTTCCGTATATAACGAATGCATAGCAGGTGGAGAAAAGGGGAACAGGAAGAGAGAGAGAGAAAAAAAAGGGAAGCATCGCCTTCGCGTTTAGGCTCTCCTGAAATTACTTGACGGAAGGGAAAGTGCAAAGGCTCGTTTCGATTTGAGTTAGTTGCCTTGTCCGCCTTTATTGTTCTTTTTCTTTGTTTCTCCAGTTGGCCCGTCGAGCCAGCTGCTGCATCGACGAAAATTTCTGACTAATTAACAGATGCACTCGAACAACAAGGCGCATTTAAAATTGCTCGCTGCACGCTCCGACCGTTTACTGATTCACGGGAAAGAGTTATATCGTGTAGGCATTGTAATCATTGGTCGGTCGCGTAATTAAAGTTCAATTAATCACGGAAATGTAATCAATTACCGGTTGAGCGGAAACTCAATGACGTTGGACTTGGTTTTTCGATGATTTATATTTATGGATACCTCTACTGAATTATGCTTTCAAATTAATTTAATTTTCTTCGCTATGGACACGGTGTATTTATTGATAATATTAAATTGCTTTCAATTTATTCTACGAGGTTATTGCGACATGGGAAGTAATAATTCGACATGCACGGGTATATGCATCTGTATCGCTTCAAATTGTTCCCCAAATATTTCAATTAATAGATATTTTTTTTTGCGATCATTCTTTTTTCGCAACAGTTTGTAATTTAATTTTGGCCATTTTTATTTGCTTCATTTTTATAGAATTGTACTTGTTTTCGTTTCAGTTTTTCGGCCACGAAGGACCATACTACGCCAGCGAATGGAGCGAAGTGAATCCAGAATCCAAGGAGATGGTAATCAGAACAGTAAATGTGAGTAACAATAATTTTATACGTTGAATTTAATTGAAAACATTTGTTCCTGATGAAAGCTCGTTACTTTATCGCGTTGTTAATTTATTTAATGACGGATTGATACGCCAGGCGAAAACAGAGCAATATTCATTCGCCTGAAAATACTTAATTCCTATCATTAATCAAAATATCACATGTAACATTTAATCAACCGAATGCGAATTCCCGCGAAGCATGCCTCTACGGAGATTTCATTACATTTGCTCTTTATTATTCGCATATTGCTGGACAAAGCACTTCGACCACATTTGTAATTAATCTTTCCAAATCGCAATAAATGGGAAACGAACTAATCGATATTCGCCGTGGAAATGTTACTTTGCACTTCCATTTAATTGTATTATGTAATACCGAAGAAATAATTTACTGATGGACCAGACTAATTGAACAAAAGGGAATCTAGGAATTAAACGTGTACGTTTCATATTGCTTCACTGTTTCACAATGGTGCAGAATTCATCAGCAAATCGGAGATAAAAAAATCAAATTATAAAATTGAATATTTTCGAAATAAAAGAAAGCATTGTTTTGGGCGGATGTTTTAGGCTATATTATCATAATGAGAGTAGTAATTTTTGTAGTTCTTACTGTAGTACAGATAGCATTAGCAATTCATTTGGTCGACGCAAATAAATTTGATAAACGAAGTGTGGCACACAGAGGGGCACGCTCGTGCTTGTAAGCGCGTAATCGAACAATCAATATATTCCCAATTTCATTCGAATCGAGATCAGCAACGGTAATTGGAAAATAACTTGATGCAATTTCACCTGTAGAATTACACTCGATCCTTTCGACACCGCCGCACTTGTGACGTATCCCCTCGATCGAAAAATTTTCAATTTACCTTGATCAATTTCGAAAATAAAATGAAACCGACGTTGGATTCTTTCCGTTCTACCAGCGGATAATATTTGTTCGAAAAATTGACCGATTCCTGTACGAGAAGTGGATACATTTGCTGGAGGAGATCGGCGTGAGTTGCTGGCACGTCTCGGAGTTGAGGTGCGGAGCATCGTATCGCATGTGGAAGGTTGGATATGATAGGTTATTGATGCTCGCATTACCGGAGGGTTGCATAGCTTCGTGGTCTCCTCGGAGGGTTGTGCCAGGAGGGTTTCGGGAAGACAGGGTGGAAAAGGGCGAAAGCATTGGTCTTAGCTGGTTGCAGCGCTTTGGAGATCGTTCTCCTCCCGCTTGCTTGATCCCCGGTCAAAAAGAAAAGAAAAGGAAAGAGATACCAAGATGCTGGATGCATTACTGCTATGATGAACGATCCGCAGGTGGCTCCCGGCAAAAAGTGGAGCCTTCCATCTACCAGGAGCCGCTACCGTCGATCGTTTTTACTTATCGAGGTACTTCGACATACGTATACCTGTGTAGCAAACGGCTACTTAGGACGGCAGAAAATTCGTACACGAAGATGCTTTCACCGACGCGAGAAAAGATCCCCTCGCACGAAAATCGACCTCGTCGAAAAACCCCGCCAAATAGACCGCCCAAATTACACAAAAATATATCCAACCCTCGCAATCGTTTCTAAAAATCATTTCTGCAATTTGTCTAATTTTTAGCAGCATTTAAAGTAGTATAACTTTCTGAGAGATTTTAATTTTCCTAAATGAAAAGTTAGTTGAAGAAATATTCTTGATAGAGGTAATAGAACTTATCCATGAAAATAGCTATATTAGCGAGTTCTGTTTCCGTTGCAAATAAAATATGACTGTTTGAAAAATGCAAAGCCCACGGCTGATTTGTCACGTGAAACATGAACACGAAGATTTTATTTTCGTCACGCAAATATTAACGACGAAACGCAATGCGGTTAGCCACGTGTCCATTTATCAGCTGTTTTATATGTAACTTGGTTGTTTGCTCTCATACATCAAGTATGAAGCGTAAACTGGCTGGCTATCGTGAAACGAGATACAACACGAATCCCGCGATACGTGCTCATTGCTTGAATAGCATGTTTGAATACATTACGCGGTGTGTAAACTCTTTGGTGTTGTTAATTATTTAAAAACATTAAATATGCAGGAACAGCATTGGACTGTTACGAGAGACGGAAGAAAAATGTTCAGAACCGTTTTCATTTCATTCGTTAATATTTATTTTCGTACTTTTGTTCCGATGGTGAATTTTCAACCAATGAATAAATTCAGTCGAATAAATGTCGGTTTCGGTAAATAGTAGATTATTGTACGGTAATTTAGTCTACCGGGAGTCGTAAATTTAACGCGGACTTTTAATTCCCGAATTTCCGAATTTCAAAAATTAATGGGTTCCCTTAGATTACCGCGTTCCCCGGAGGAGCCATTGTACTAGAAATTCGTATTCGTTTGCATGCAAAAATGTCCCAATTTCTAGTAAAAAAAGCTATGTACAAATCGTGGAAAGCTTTCCGATGGCACACGACAGCGCAGCGTAACGTGGAAATTCCTCGGTGCGGTGATTCGTCTTTCGAGCACACAGGAAGTAACCATACTCGGTCTGGATCCTCGACGTCTTCTTTCCCGCTGTCGTCTTTCCAATTAAGGTCAGACGGCGGCAGGAAGTGCCGCGTGATATTTCCCCGCGCCCGCGTAATCTATGGGGACGTGTTTCCGCGTTTCCTGCACGCCGAGGGCTACAGACGAGTTTCAACTAAAATTGAACAATTCCCTGTGGGATGTCAACGCTTTCTCTGTCTATACCCTGCTTCGTCTGTTTGGCGAGTATACGCACGCTAGCGAGGATCCGCTCGCGCCCGCCTTTCCGCGTCGAAATATACGCACGCGAGTAACGCTCGCGTCGGCCAACTCATACGGGCAACAACATTGTATAGGCGAGCGTACCGGAGGCAATGTATTCTACATAAGCTAGCTAGAGTCCGGACCAGGTTATAACCTATCCCCCTCGAATCCCAGAGGGGAGATATCTTTTAGCAATTTACCCGTACCCGTAGCAGGGCCCTGCTGCACACGTTTACGCGGGATGCATACGTATCGTGGCGCTGGTTGCTTCGTAATGCGGCCTCGTATCGTTCAACCTAAACGCATCCGGTGTATACAGGATGTTTCCAGTAACTGGGGCAGGCTATATCTTTAAAACGATTAGAGACGGGAAAAAGTTGTAGAGGAAAAAGGCTGTATCGTACAAGATCGTTATTTTCACCATTCTTTTTTCTTTATAAGCGCAACGGTGCAGGTAATTTTAACCGTTTAAAATATACGTATAGCCTGTCCCAGTTACTAGGAACACCCTGTATACGTAGAGAGGGTAGGAGCAGAACATAATGGGCTTTGTTGCCGGTCAGAAACCACCAGCCGTTGCATATTTCGACGCTGATCGCGAATTCAGCGATGTTCCACCGATGAATCTTGAAAAGAATACGATCGCCGATGTGTGCGCCGTATCGTGCCAATAGGACTGTAAATATCGTCACGTTGTAAAATCCCCGTCCTGTTAATCGAAAACAATGCCTGTTGGCGTCTGGGGGATCGCGATGCAGCGAATACAAGCGTTCGACAGGAAAAACGATGAAACATTCTCCCGATGGTGCAGGTGGATGGATATTATCGGATTATCAGACGGACATATTGTACTCGCGCGTCACACGACGATCGATCGCGTTAAGTTAATCGTGTTATTATTTAAAACCTGTTGTAAAACGCTGGCTTCGTAGTTTGACGCTATACGCTCGCGAACGTACCACCCCGATACGCAGATTAATGAACTGAAAACACCGACATTACCCGCGTTGCGTTTTTCGCTCGAAATCATTTTTCCGTATCGTTCTTTCACCGCTGCATACCGATACGGTTCGCAGCTACTGGATGGCGTGGCAATTTCGTGTTTTTAGAATTGTAGAAGGTCGAGACCAATAGATCAATCGTACGTAGGTCTTCGCGCGATACGTTCACAGTGATACGTTGTCGAGCACGAAGGAAACTGAGACGATATTTTACCAACGTCGACTCCACCACTCTCTAACGATACTTCCTTCGTTCTGGCACGAATTTCCGTGCGTGCAGGCGCGAAAACCCTAGACACAGGCAGAGATAGAGGGATTGCTCGTCGGTGGCGAGCATTGGCGTAACTGGAATTTTTGTCAGGGGTGGATCTTCCGGGTTTATTGATGACTTGGTTGCCTTCGGAGATTAGTTTTAAAATCATGGAAAAATATAGGAGTTCAGAATAGCTTCTGAAAATTTAAAAGTTATTTGAGGATTTGGGAATTTAGGAATTCTACTGAAAATTTGCAAAGGTAGAGAATTTCTAAATTTCTGATAGAGATATCGTGTTCTTCACACGCAGAGAAGCAGCTCGTATTTTGATGAGAAGCTTCCTCCCTATTTACGCCAATGGCAGGGGAGTCAAAGGGAGATGGCATCGGACGAGAATTAATAACGGACGCGTGTATCGGTGATGTATCCTGGTTGTGTTCACCGACTCCCCGTGGACTTTGCTGATGGAGAACTGCAAGTTGGTAGTGGGTGGTTGCGTTCGGGTGGTGTACAGGGCTGACTGAACGTGCCAGCGACTGAATTATTGTACGCGCAGCCCTCTAAATCATAAAAACAACAAATTGCGCGAGCAGCGTATAGGCCCCGTGTTTCTAGAACACCACATTTACGTATTTTTATACGGACATGTGCCGTCGTGTGCACGGCAACGCCAGCGTTTTTTTGAATCGATTGAAATATGGAGTCGAGACAGAGACGGGGGCGGCTTAATGAAAAATGGTAACTTCGGGATCCATGGGTTGTACGACGCCTCGTGTACAGGTTTCAGCTTGAAACCCTTGATCCCAGTGAATCCTCGTCGAGCCTGGTGTCACGCGACAACCCCATCGAGATGTTTCCAACGCGATCCACCGACTCGTTGGAAAAGTTTTGGGAATGGATATTAATGATCGCGCGATAGCTACCAGGGCGAACGTATTAGGCTATCGCGAAATTTTGTCCCGTTTTTCATATCTATGGGTAATTCGAAACCTTTGTGAAAATGTATTCAATCTTCTCTGTTGTTTGTCCGGGTACATAGTATCGTTACATTTTATAAACATAGTATGAATGATCATGTAAATGTGTTCATGAATCATACATGGAAAATGTACTTTTTGCATAATGCACGTTTTTACCATAATGCATGTTTTATTTAAATGAAGCATTATTTGTTATTGATTTCTTAAACGCTAGTATAACGTAATATTGGGTTTGCTTTTAACAGAATTGATTATTAAAACTATCGAACATTCGAGAACCATTTCCCGAGGTTATAAACGAAAAATTTCGATAAAGCAGATCTGGAGTGAAATTCAGATTTTAATTGAAATTGCTGATATTTTGAAAGGTATGATCGTTGAAAGGCCGAAGGAGCCTGAGACACGTGCTTCTGACACTAATTGAAATGCTCTCTAATTACATCCTGACGTATACTTTTGTGAATTAATATTAATAAATGATATTACCAGTTCACTATTAATAAGATTGAAAAATATGGTAATTTATTATTAATTGGCAATTAAAATGAGCGATGTACATTTATGTTCCGTGTATTTTTGCACGTTTTATTTACATAGATATCTAATTTAACACTGTCATTAAAATCTCAATTTTCAGACCGCTTTTGATCAGTTAAACAATTTTTGCATCTTATGTTACTTTTATTTAAATAAATATTCGAAGAGCTCGGCAGGAACATTAGATATCGGTTAATATTTCGTTCCATGTTATTTGTGTACATCCGCTGTTCCTTGAAAAACTTGAAATCCGCAAAGTACGTTTGCCAATCTGCCTCGGAATACTTCATAAGCGTCTAACGGACCGTCGGGCGTATCGATTCAAGTTACGGATGCGGCTCTGTTTGTTCAGAAATGTACATAGACGCGGAAACAAGTAATTGAATCGAACGTGGAAGGAAACCGCGCGCGTATCCATTCAGCCGGGAGCAGATGACTGGAAGCTCCCGTTTACACGATCTAATACGGATTTGTCAGCACACGATTCCCAATCTCCCCCAAAATCCACTGAAATCGGCGATTACCGTGCGCAAGAGAAAGCCCCGGGCCGAATTCTATTCGAGGTCGATCCAGCTTCCGACATTACGTCGTAGTAGATTCGTGCTTCCGGCGCGACGGCCCGTGGCACCCTCTCGAGGCATCGAATGGTACGGCCGAATTGGGAACATAGACGGCCCAGAGAACAATGCTGCCTGAAGCCAGATACCTAAAGTCCCTCTCAATTATGCGGCGATGCTAATTACTCGCGAGTGCATACTGAAGAAGGCTCTTTAGCCCGCACAACGACCCTTCATCGGGTCCGAGTCTGCCCATCCTCTCCCAGTTATATCGAAAGATGAAACGGAATCACGGGAATTCTTGATTCGAGAGCTCTGTTTGCACGATAGTTTACGTTGCCTTCCTAACGACGCCATTAGGACTCTCTACTGATCCTTTCTCAGATTTTTTAGACCCACTATTTAAATGCTAAGAGCAAAATGTCACCTCTAAAATATGAAGAAGCGTCAAATGCACTCGCGAGCGACTAAGAGTAGTGATTGCAACATTTTAAGCGATTTTCGTCCATGTCGGTTAACCGACGTTTAATAACAAGTCAGTGTGATCTGTAACGGAGTGCTCGGTTCTTTCGCATCAAGTTCTCGATTTTAGTTAACGATTTTCGACCTATCTGTGCTACTAAACGTGACCGTGCCGCAATGCTGCGGTAAATGAAAAGCAAACGCCGTGCTCGGCGCAGAGACCGAGGGATTGGCAAACATCGGTTTCGACGCGCGGCTGACGAGAAAAATTTCAATTAACCGATGCACTAGATCGGGAGGGAGACAGGGTCGACGATGTACGCTTCTCGTACTCTCTGACCGGGGTGGAGGGAAAAAAAGGAAGTGAAAATTAATTACTTCGTCGTTGACGCCAGGACCGAGAGAGGGATCGATCATTCGCTTGATAGGATTAAATCGCGTGCCAGGCGTTTACCTTTTTCGCGTGCTTTTTTTTCCCTCATCTTTGTCACGACGCATCGCTTTCTGTTTTTCTGTCCCGTTGATGAGACACAACGAGAGATGATTACGTCGCGGTGGGACAGTCGCGAAAAGAGTATCTCCTCGGTCAGGGTTCTTTTCGAATGTTTCTCCGTGGAAAAAGGATTTAATCTCGGCGCCGAAGAAAGAGTCGCGTTTCGAAGACTCCCGCGAAACTAGAACGAACTCGAGACGGATTATTTTGCGGAATTTAATCGGATTTGTGTTTTAAACGGAACTTAAGACACGCTTTTAAACGAGTTTCGTCGGAGCACGAAATTATTCGTCGCTGACGCTTGATATTTATTGGTCGTGTTACGTAATTTATTTCTCTCGGATCGATGATAGAAGGAAGTTTGCTCTGTCGTTAAACGTTCAATCATAGCTATTTCAATACGAGTTAAACGAAGCACGTTTTTGTTACTACCTTGTGGCACCGAGGGAGTTGTTCGTTACGGAAGCTACAATGAAACCGTTCGTCTTGCCAATTACTACCTTCACCGCCTCGTGTCTTATTCTTTTCTCTGTTTTCTGCACGGCCTTCTGAATCGCGATTGCACCGCGCTGGGAGTACTTAAATGATAAGGACACGAGCTGGGTGCAAGGTGTTAATTACTTCTGTTGAAAAGAAGCTCGTTTTCACGATGAAATTGCTTCTGACTTCATTTCGCGTAGATTGAAAGTCATAATCCAGTGTATAAGACTCTTGCATTCAGTACAATTTTAGTGGAGGACGTTTATCGAATAAATGCACGAAGGGACTTCGTATTTCCAGATTTTCCAATACTCGAATCCTCAGATTTTTAAATCGAAAGCACATAACTCGAGTAGCGACATAAACACTTAGATCGTTTATTGCGATACCGTCGCGAAATGGCGTCCAGAATGTCGTCTATTTCGTCCCTATATTCCGCAGGCGTTGAATACTCGCGATCCTGCTCGATTCAGCGTGGGATCAAATTCTATAGGATTCTGGTTCTAAAAGTACGGACAATATGAAGCAAACAGACGTAACGTGCATGTAATTCGAATAGAGTTTTACGTCCGTGGGCGGGAAAACAAAGAACCGCGCGTTCGATAGGACCGAACGCACTCGAATAGCCCTTTTCGATTCTCGATTTCTCGCGAATTAAACCATCCGTATTTTCCCTAATCCACGATCCGTGTAATTGATGAAACGCCGCTCGAAGCCGGGCGTTAATTTTTCTTTTATTTAGTTTTTTGGTCTCTTCCGACTGTACGGGGGGATGCCACAAGATTCGAAGGGGGTTGGCGGGACCACGAAACGCGACGAGCTGGATAGTCGGTTGCGATGTAACACAGTCGACTTCACTGATTGCCAATATGGCGGAGAGGACCAGGCTCCTCTCTATCTCGATCACAGCGTGGATCCACAATGTGCCGCGGGCGTTAATTCCCTCGTGAAACGTATTGCACCCCCGCGATTCAATTGTTCCAGTTCCACGGCCACATCGCTTCACGCTGCACTGCCACGAATGAGTCGTACGCAGCTCATAATGATGTAATTTTCGAAATGGTGAACGCCTCCTCGTTGTCGTTACCCCTCAGACTTGCTTCATTATCGACCACTATAAAACTGATACGCACAAAACGATCCTACTTCTTTTTTTTCTCACTCTTCTCATTGCAAGATCTACTCTTATCTCTCTGCTTCGGAAATCATTAGAGATATTCAGCTATTTATATTCTTGATTATAGAGATCGAGATGTATGCAGGGATTATTTTTAACCTCAAATCGTTCTCAAGTAAACTACAACTTTATTTAAATTTTTTAAAATTTCATTAAAATCTGACTGAAGTTCTGGTGAGTTCTAATACAATCTCTTTCAATATCATGTCGCACACGACATACATTTGAAGTATGCTTCAATTATTTTGTGCGACGAAATTTGAACTATGTCATATTAAATTATTTAATTCTGCGAAAGTTTGAACAACGCACGCGAGTAACATGAAATAGTGATCATTTATCCTCTAACTTCGCCGAAGTAAAATTTCAGCGAAACTTCCGAGTCCGTTGCACTTCCAACGAAAAAGACACGAGCAGCCGATATCTATTGAATAATTCCAAAACACGCGAGCGTTTTGTTCTGTTCACGATAGACAAGATAACAACGCTCGAAGTAACTTTCAACATAATGTCCATAAGTCGGTCAAACGCTGCAGCGATTTTACTCTGGCAGGTGGTTTGTCGCGAAAGCTTTAGCCGGCGAGTTTTATTTCGTTGCATCGATTATTCACGGCTTCACGTCACTTTCGTGGAAACGTTTTATCTTGATAATAATAGCCAACCATCTATCCGAAGGTTGGTAACCCCATGAGTTGCACGATACGCTCGATAGAGCCACGTAGCTGAAATCGGAGACCTTAGGCAAGAATGGAAATAGTTTGAGTCTTTTCTGCTTTCAGATAAGCTTGGGAAAGAACGTCTCCGTCGGCGAGGTGGTCAAATACACGCCACATCCGGACAACCCAGAAGTAACCTTGTTAAAACAAGAGGCTGTAATTTCCATCAAAGGACTGCCCCTTATTAATCATCTCGAGAAGCTACTGTCAATGACCATTGAACACAATGCTAATAAGGTACTTGATTTCATGTATCTCCGACTGTTTAGCAAAGAACAATTAACTAAAATTTTGCGGACAAAAGAATTGAAAAAATAAGAACGAAAGTAGTATTGGAATTTGGATAAGGTCTGCTGTAAATTTATTTATGAAATGTTTACAGATAATTATTAGAGATGTTTTAAAAATCATGAACATTTTAAGTTTATGAATCTGAAGCGATGTTACGAGATTCTTGTTCGGCGATGTAACGAAATCTTCACCCGATTGCGTTTCAGGGACGGCAAGCAATGGAATGGGTCATCGCGAAGCTGCAATCGGAGGTGAAAGATATCGCCTCGTCTGCTGCGAAGTCGACAGACGACTTGCTCCATCAGACGCGACGTCAGTTCGACGACATCACAAATATCACGAAACAGGGCATGGAAGAGTTTCAGAGCGCGGCTAAAAAATCGTTCGACGAGTTCCAGAATTTGACAGTGCCACCACCATCTCAATCTATACCAAAATTATAGCTAATATTTCACGTTAGCTTCAATCTCTTTAACTAAATCTATAGATATTTGATGGAACGATTGGAGACAGAGAATTAACGACTCGATACGAAACTTTTGTCTATGTAACATAAATGTTTCTGACAATGTTCATGCTAGGATTTGAATTGGAAAATATTCATGTCGCTACCAGAATAATCGCTCTGTGAATACTCAATATTGGTTTTATAGTTTTGATTGTAAGCTAAATATAATTAGCCCTTAAATGGCGATAATTTTAACTTAATTTTAGACTGTTGCATTTTTAGTTTCTAAAGAATATTTTTTTAAATATAAATTATCCAGTATTCTTTACAAATTTCAGTGCTTAATTTTAGTTTATATTTCACTACATGAGTTTCATGGGTATGAGTCACGGTAGTCATGACATCGCCATTTGATGGTTAATGAAATTTAATTCGTAGTAGAAATCAAAGTGTATGACAGACAAGTCTCTTCGAAAAGAGTAAATGTTTAGAAACTATTCGGTGCATTTTCTCCGGACGTACGGACGGGACGATACGTGTAATATTTTCGTATAGATCAGTGAAGGTATAAATCTGTTCACCAGTTTTACGTGTATACGTTCGAAGAAGATTGTTCTCCAATCGTCCCATGACAGATGTTTTAGTGAAAGAGTTGTAGCTACGACAAGTGATAATAGTCGTTAGAAGAATGTTTCGAGAAACACCGTGATTTCATACCGACGACTCGTATAGATAACATACTTTCTTACGAAAGGTTTATGAAGTGACAGTAGATTTATTACCACACTATATTCTTGCATTGACGAGATGAAATAGTCGCTGGAATATATATCGAGTCTGAAAGCTTGCTTTTTTATAAGCTTCGTTTGGGATCGGATTATCACTATGTATACCAAAATGCTTTAACAGTATGCTGCTCCGACACATTTAGAATGGTCGTTATCGTCAGTGTTTACCTCATTTCCTTGTATCAAGCTTAAGTTGTATCGTGACTAGTAGTAGAGTCACATATATACGTCTCCTGTGGTTGCTGACCAATACAGCACATTTATGAGAATTATTTATTTTCACACGAGACCTTCGCAAATAATAGTAAACATATATAGAACAATTTAGCTTATAAACGTGGCTTTAAGTATAAAGCAAACAATGAAAGAGAAGAAAGTATGTACTGGAACTCGTGTGGAACATTAATGCACGTATGTCGATGTCAATTTAACGAGGGTGGAAGCACAGCTTGGGTTCGTCTACTCTGATGTTTATACAATTGGAAACCACAGAAAATTAAATATATATATTTATTTTCAAAGCAAAACGGGTTGGTGTTAATTGTTGTCACTGTGTAATCGAACACTTAACCGATGATTCCGAGTATAATGAAACTTGTAGATTAGAACTTGTTGAACTATTATAGACTGACACTCATTTTAAAGATGGTTGTCTTTTGTGAATTATTTTGTTGATCATTTTCTTCCTTTATGGGCAATTTCCGACTGTAGCTAATTCCTAAAATTTTACAGTTCCAATGACCTCTGAACATTAAAAAATCTCATGATCAGTGCGACTTTGGTAATCCTTGCTCTAGTATCGGTAAAACGAATTCCGCGCTTATTTAGAACGGTAATTCGAGCTAAAGAGGAAAGAGACAGGTTTTACTGTTGAGAAATCGCGTTGTCCCCAGGTGGTTCGTCGATACTCGTATCATTTGAAATCGTGCGCCACGAAATACCCCGGTATCTCGCTCCTCCTGTCCTCCAATTCTCTGTGGAGGATATTCGCGCGAGTCAGCGAGTGTTTCCACGCATCGAGGACGAAACACGCTCGTATCATACGGGCCAAGTATCGATTCAACGATGGAGAACCAGTCTCGACATTCCGCTCGAGCAATTTCCAGCGCAGCGGAATTTCGACCGGGTCATTATTGTTCTCGGGAGTCTAGAGACAATTTTCATCGGTTTACTCAAATCTGGCCGACCAACTCTCTCTCTCTCATTGTAGGTAAGTAGAAAGGGGGAGAATGGAGAGCGCGAGTCGAGAGGGTTGGTTGGCTGTCGAGCCTCTGGAATACGAAGTGGCGCAGAGGGCAGGAAACGGACGAAATTTGACATCGAGGCTCGGTATGTAAGAGATAATTGATGACGTTACGGTTCATCGCTCGCTACTCGGTTACCGGACATAGACAAATATTGACAGCTTCCGATCACAGGACCCACCCCGTCATCCTTTGTACCTAACTCACGCACACGGGGCTCCGATGTCTGTTCGGTTTTCCCGTCGAATCGGTCCGCTTAGTCCCTCGAACGTTAGTAAATCAACGGTCCCCCGTTGACCGGACGTGCATGTCGAGCAAGTTTCGCAAATTAAAGTGGCCTCGTTTGTCCCTATAAAGCTTGACTGCGGCTATCGGTTGCACATGACGTCGCGCCACGCTTTGACGACAAAGCGACAGTTTTCCCTTTGACTTACTTTTATTACGGCCACTTGCCAGTGTGCCAAGTACGTGTACGTGTATCTTCACGTTCCTTCGACTGGAACGCGAAATTACGAACTCGAAACTTAAGCTCCGGAATTCGAAGGGCTTTGCTTCACGAATCGGGACCTAGGTGGTCAAGCTTGCTTCGAGCATAGTTTCGGGGACACCGGTATGTCTCCGCTGCATTGTTCATCTTTAATTGCCCGTGTGGCTCTCACTTTGGTATTTTGCGAGCGAACGAGTGTACTCAAAGGGACCACCTCTGTAAATCACTTCTGGATAACAAGTTTCGGAAAATTTGATTAGGTACCGCCTCGTCCTATGATAAGAGGTTCGATCATTTGTTTCGAGACAAAGAGTAATTGCACAGTCTTCTTACCGAAGATACATTAAAACTTACGCTATGATCAATTTCCTCGTGAAACAGCCTGTTTAAACTTGATGCATTAACTCGAAAGTTTTTCGGCGATTACGTGGAGGACCGTTCGAGTAAATCTTTGAGTTGGACGTTTATTTGTTTGAAAATGCTCGAGTTAGCTCGTTTGGGAGAGGTACTCGGTGTCTTGAAAGGGATAGGATTTTCAAGGCCGCCCGCTCCATTTTCCATTCCTTTAGCCCCGGTTCCGGGAGAAAAGGAGAGCTTCAAAGGCTTCGAGCGAGCGTCGAAAAGGCTCATGGTTTACACATCGCTACGGTACTCTCTCGTCAAGGCTCGTAAAAGCTCTCGGGACGATCGACTGTAAAAGTCGACGACACGGTCAAGTAGATCCTTCTTGATTTCTCGCTTCTCGATTCACGAGCTCGTGAAAAACCGCACTTCATACATTCCTGGTCACTGCCTTATATTATCCTTTCTTTTTGCTCGGCTCTTTCCCCGTCCTCCTTCAAATTCAGCAGAGGATCGCAATCTTCCTCCGTGTACGCTCGACCGTTTCGTTCGAACGTATACACTTTTTTTTGCTTTTTGTTTCGATCCGAAAGAGAATAAAAGAATTTACTGCGAATCCACTTCCTTCGAAGCCTCTCATAATTCTTTTATTGTCCCGTTAGGTTAGGTTAAAGTTATAGTATATTCTCTCAATTATTAATACGGTTTACTTTTAGTGAGCCACGTTTAAAGTATCTAAAACTTTTTGACACATAGAAAATTTGACATTTTTTATCGCACGATTTTCGTGTACGTAAAAGACTATCTTCTCCATCAGTAAAGTAATGTATCAACGTAAAAAGAAGGAATGTTCATTGACACCGGCAAAAGGTTTTTAAGGTACGAAGTAAAAATCAGCTAGAGAAGATTGTACACGTTTTTCCGGCAAGATACTCCGAAGGAAATTGATTATACCGAATTAACCAGTGTCAATGTCGTATCAAGGAAATTGTGCGATGAGGAACAACGAATGTAGGTGTGCAGAACGCAGCTACGTAAGTAATAACGGGAGATGTTGAGCAGGGCGACGTGGCGCATACGCTCTGTCTATTAGCATACAATTATCTTTATGCTTCTTTTATGATTCATATTTAGTGCCAGTTTCGCCCGGTTTTCGCTTCGTCGGCCAGCACGGCAGCGCAGCTTCAAGTTTGCAACTTTTACGATCACGCTTGTTTCTAAACTTAACGTTCGCCGTTTCACCTCTTATCATCGTTTCTCGGTGCAGCCGTAGCGTTCTTGCTAAAACGTGCCTTTGCAAATATCCCCGTCGCCAACCCCCTTTGGGAAAAAGCCCGAAAATTTGTTGTCGTACGTGCTGAAAATCTGCAACAACTATCGATTTCCCTTCTGCTCTTATTCCTTTTGTTCCAACGATATTGCTTTGGGAAAAGCACTTTTTGAAAAAGATTAACTTTTGAGTTACGGTTTTAAAATGAACCTGTATTGAGTCTGAAGAAAGGTGGTGATGGTTGCAAATTTTTCTCGCAAGAAAAAAGAACAAAATAATAAAGACCGATAACGAGGAGGCAGCGTTCTCCTATCTCCGTTTTGTACGGTCCATATGGGTGTGATCATGGTTCCAATGGCCCCGCCATTGCTATCCGACTACGACTGACCATTAATTTAATTAATGCAAATCCATTTGCAGCTGCACGCGAACCAACCATTTCCCGCCTTTATTTCGCGCCATTTAGACTTTATTTTTGACGGAGTTCGCCATAGCCACACGGAACTGTATCCTCGTCAATTTTTGTTTAGTTCCACCGTTATTTCGACCTCGTTTACATTTTCGTTGCATCGTTTATGGAACTTCCTCTTCCGCATTTCGATATTGAATTCAGTAAGTGTTTAATGCAACGCTTGCGAACCTTTCGTATTCCGTAATGTAATATAGTAAACTGGTGCGATATCAAAGGTCGACGTTTCGCGTATGACAAATGCAATCGCAAATTCTACTTTGAACGTTACATCGCGACGAATTATATTTTGCTCCACATACCGACGTCGAAAATAATACGAATTTTCGTGTAATATGAAGTTAATTGAACTTTTTATCGTGAAATTCGGGTTATTTCTTCCGTTTGGCATTGATCAGCAAATTGCTGAATTGTTTCTGGTCTGAGTTCACGTATGGCGTACGCGATGCAGATTACAGCAATTCGAAGCTCGAAGTTTCAATTATTTACGCGATTCGACAAAACATCCGCTCGATACCTGTTATCGGCACTGTAAATTTCATGTACACGCATATCCTGGAGGGATGAACGGTTATTATGAACGGAGGAGCTATCGAGGAGACATGCATTATGCACAACTTCTCCAGAAGTCCGTCCCAAGCATCTAATCTTGCCCTTTGACCCTTCTCCCCGCAGCATTTAACCCATATACCCGTCCGAACATCGGGAAATCTCCGTAAAGCCGATTAGTAGTCAGAGCACGTCCGTTATTAGCCATTCGGCCGGATGTGGTCTAAAACTACTGAAATCAAACTTTCCCGGTGTAAACGATCTTGCGGGCTAATTTATACAACCCCTTCAATCACACAGCCAGCCTATATCCATCGTCCTGCATAACGTGAAAACAGAAAATTAACCTATCAATCGAGCTGACCCTGAGCTTGAGAATCGCGTGATTTATAATAATATTAAAATGTATCGCTGCAGGGCTGAATTGGACCAAGGTCGATCGAGTTTAATTATCTGATTGCTCCTTCGTTAAATTATATCGCTAAGAATGTAAATGAAACGTGGCACAAATTTACGGAATGACCCCAGCGGAAAGAAATTACTCCAAACTACGGTCGCGAACTTACGAGATTTATTTTGGTCCCGGTTTCCGCGGCTGAGTTTACACGCAATCCTGTAGCGGTTGATTGCATCTCTAATTGCTCGACGGCAATCTCCGTATGCAATGCACGTGAAGTTTGTTTTAATATTAATTTCTTATCGTTGATCTTGCCTGGGCAACATTATATTCAGCGGGTATCACCGGTCTCACCTTCCATGCCGTGCAAACATACTCTGAGAACTAGTCGGTTGAATATCTTGCGATCTCTACGAAGCAGGAAGGTGTAAGTACCGTGTTAGTCTTTGGGGTTACGTCGCTGCTCGCAGAGCTAACTAATAGCCTCTTAGCCTCGGCTTAGGGAGGATCATGCTACAGCCAGCCGCACCCTCCTTCGTTACCAGACTCAGACCACACACCCTCAGCCTTCGGTGCAATCCTTAATCCGTGCTGGGGCCTGCAAACAACCGATCTGTTTCTACAGACCAGACCATGGATTAACAATAATGATCGATTGCTTTCTATCTCGTCTTTTTCTCTTTCGAAGCGATTTATATTTGCGTCACAGTAGGAACAGTCTGGTGAGGATTACTCACCAATTAACTGCGGAATTTTTCGAAATCCCTCCAGGGATGCGAAATTAAAATCGAACAACGGTGCACGCGTCGAACGCGGGTCAACCTATTATGAACTTTACAAAAAGAGTATCGTGAAAGGACTACGTTTTTATTCGACAAAAATGAACAATTCGATAACGTCAACTGCAC